CCATATTTCGAAGTGACACTGATATCCATCCCATCTGGACTAACGGTGAAAAATCCTTGGTGAGATGCATCTGCCACACCAGCCCCACGGAAGGAACAAAATCTGCCGCAGGGGCGAAACATCAAACAGAAATTCAGCTGGCCCTAGTGACTGGCAATCTGACATGGATCCCGCAGCTCCAAAGATGAAAATGGCCCATGGGAATTGGGGCAATGCTCCAAGAAGTTATGTTCGGCTGCCAAAGGGGTCCGGTAGATCGGGCAGATGTTTTTTTTGCAGCTACTGCTAGCTCAAGCAATCTGGCGACTCCCCGTATGCCTGACTCAAGCAGTCTGGCGAGTCTACCACGCTACAAGAAATGGCTATACAAGCCATAGGGGACGACTCTATACAAGCCATAAGTGGACCTGGACAGCGCCCCACACAACCTTCGATGTGGATGTTGGTGCTATTGATCCTTGTGTCTCTATAGATCTCTATACTACGTTCATCAATGTTCTACTGCTCTTCAAATCTCACAATAAACTCAGGCCTGCGCAGGGTCAAAGGTCACCCCCATATGGCTCTGTAGCGCAGAACCAGCATTCATGCCACTGCGAATGTCGGGCCTTGCCATCTTGGCAATGCAGAAACAGCAAGAGGACCTCGGTAGCATCTCGCGGGCCATCTAGATCCATTTAGTGTACTTTGCCTGCGAATCAAATAGCAGATCGACACACCACATAAATCTATCATGGACACCAAATGACACCAATGGGATGTCTACCAAGTCTAGCAATAATCCAAGATAATCCAAGAGCTGGAGCACAATCAGACGCTTCTGTCAAGGCACGTGACAAGTCTTGGCATTGACCTCGTGTGTAGAACGGATCCCCAGCCACCAGAGCATGGTCCCAAGCAGCTGCGAAGTAGGTCCCCTTCTGTTGCCATGACTTGTTGGAGCAGAAGTCGTTCATTGGCAGCTTGGTCCACATGGATATCTGTGCCAAAATCAAAGTTTCGCTCAAGGATGGAGTGATGCTCTCAGGAGGGATGTCATGCTGCTCGGGTTTGTCACGGATTAATTGAACAAACCGTTGCAAACGCCGCCAGAGGTGCAGATTTCGAACCTGGTACGCCTCAACCGCCACGAAGTTGGAGCTTCTGGCGGGAAATTGACTGGTTCAGTACCTTCCCCAATTTGGCCAACATGTCCAGTGCCGAGATTTTCTGCATTGCTGGCACTTGAGAAGGTGGTGCAGCCATCTCCCAACGAACTCGTGGACCGGAAACACAGGGGATCGTCCTTTCCTTGGTGCGTTGGTTCCTTTGCAAAGCCTTCTTGAAGTCGACATCATAAGTTTTTCCATCAATGGTAATCTGGAAAACATGACCTTCTTTGAAGTGGACCATCAATTGATTATTGGCGCAGTCCTGGCATCTGTAGACATATTTTGAACCCATATCTATGATTCCCACACAATATAGAATTAATAAGGAAAAAATATGACCAAATCAAACATATGTGGTTTCCATCATTTCCATATCCCCAACCTTTGGAATTTGATTTCCATGTGATTTCCATCAGCCTTTTTTGAAGAAAACACATCCAAAATATCCAAACCAATCCCTTCCAAATCGTCGAAGCCAAAGGACTGGGAAGACCCACTTGGTGTCACCTTCAAATTGCCAGGTCTGAATCTACCTGAGTTTCCTTCCCAAGCTGCTGCTTCAAGATCATGATCTCCTGGCCACGCTTTTTCTTGCAGTTTTCTGGCTCGAAATTTATCTGTCTGGAAGAAATATATGCACGTTGAGGATGTTTGTTACTTAGCGGGGCTGGAAAAAATCCTAAGAATGCTCCAAATCTGATGTTGGTGGATGTTGGTGGCAGACTCCAACAAGTAGAGTTTGAAGTTGGAAGAAAGTCTTGTAACCATGCCCCTTGCCTTCCACCTGGATTTGCCTTCTTTCTGGTTTCTTTGCCTGGACAACAACCGCGCAAAAAGTTGAACCAAAGCGTACTCAAAGCCAACCAAACCATAAGACAGTTTTAACGGTTTGTTCCTTTCTGCCTGAGGCCCCAAATGTGGAGAGATCAATCTGTGAGAAGAATGACACATATTTCCACAGGCGACAAGAAGCAAGAAGCTGTGTATTGTTGGAAACTTGTCAGGAAGTGCACGCACATGTATACAACATACAGCTATTCGCACATGGCCAGCGTGCATCGAAGTCCAGGTAGGAACATGTATGCATTCAGATTGCGCAAAATCAAGAGAGATGATGCTGCTGATTGTGAAGTTTCAACCGGTCAACTCACACTGTACGTCGACCATGCACAGGCTAGGGACAGGAGGACTATGTTAAGCACTCCGGAACGGAATCTGCGACCCAAAGTCCAAAGGTTTCGACCCTGGAAATTCAGGACGGAACTCAAATATCCGGATCAAACAAACATCAACAATTTGGCCAATCAAAACATATTTCAAGAAGTTAAAAAATACATTCGTTTGCAATCGAATTACCATTTCCCCTACGAATATCCTTTATGTCCAATCATTTCCAAGATCTCAATGCTATCCAAGTTCCCTCATTGATACCTATGCAAAAAAATGTCTCATTTGGGGTATGGGCCCATGCCAACAAAATCAGAACGCTTCTGTAAAAAATCGTGGCAAATCAGTTTGTCTTGCTCACTTGAGAATTTATTATGAAAATTAGGGGTCCTCCATCCCAATACGTTATCACCAGTAGGATAAACAACCATTTGCGAAGTCTGAGGTGTTTTGGGGTTTGAACCAACAATATTTCGGAACTTCGGAGGACCAAATTCAAGAAAAGGACGATTTTCGGAATTATGTTCGGACGCCATTTGTAAGCATATTTTTTAAAAGGGCGTAAAGAAAAATGTAAGGTGTAAAGCGTGAAAGTATCAAGTGTAAAGCGTAGCGTGTGGAATGCAAAGCGTAGAGTGTGGAGCGTACAGTGTACAGTGTGAAGTGTAGACTGTGAAGTGTGGAGTTCTATTTGTAGAATGTAGAGTGTAAAGTTTTAGAGTGAAAAGAGTAGAGTGTGGGGTATATAGTGTAAAGAGTAAAGTGTAGAGTGCGGATTGTCAAGTGTTAAGTGTGAAGTGTAAAAAGTAAAGTGTAAAGTGTAGAGTGTAAAGTATAAAGTGTGGAGTGTCAAGTGTAAAGTGTGGAGTGTAAAGTGTAGAGTGTGGAGTGCAAAGTGTAAAGTGTAAAGTGCAGAGTGTGAAGTGCACCGTGCAAAATGTAATGCGTGAAGTGTAAAAAGTAGAGTGTGGAGTGTGAAGTGTTGAGTGCGCAGTGTCAAGGGTAGAGTGTAGAGTGTGGAGTGTAAAGTGTAAAAAGTGAAGTGTAAGGTGTAAGGTGTGAAAGTGTAAAGTGTAGTGTCAAGAGACGTTGAACGCAGTTTTGCCAAGGGGCTGACACCGGCAAGGCCACACGAATCAACGAGGCCAAACACTACCAGGTTGTTGAAGACTTTTGGATATGTTTGGCATGTTTCTGCCCATGCGATCTGGAGTTGATGTGGTTCTGGTTTCGGAGTTGTAGTACCAAGCTCAGAAGAGTGCACCCCTTAAAATTTAATTGAACTTTGCAAGGTCAACGAAGTTCATATGAAATGCGTGGAATTGATTTGTTCATTGAAAATGCACTGAGAAAACATGGGGCGTGTGGACGAGGCTGCTGCATGGTACAAGATTTCATGGTTGGGCTGAAGTGGTTAATTAATTGCAAGGTCTGGATCGCCCACAGAAACACTCGTCCAAATATGAGTTTGGCGCAGAATGTGTGATGTTGGGCCTATGTTCTTTACACTTGACCGATTCCGCCGTTGGCTTACACGGCGCCTCTCTGAGACATCTCTTTCTACCCATATCATGCGAGGTCGTGGACACTGCCCGCATAATTTAGGTTGGGGAAGACAACAAGATTGAGGCGGGACGCTGATAACTTTCAAGAGTTTTCTTTCTGGATATCCAAATTCTCAACTTTGGAGAAGGGTTCAACAAGTCGAGGCCGATGGCCAGTGTGCGACAAGTGTCTGCAGGCCGCGAGAGTTTGGGTGGATCCAAATGAGGCTCTACAAAATTTCTTCAAGACTCCACCCAAAACATCATCACAACGACGTTCCGCGGATTTGTGGTTGAATTGGGCGAAGGTTTAATACATGCACAATCCAATGAACGCAATCATCAGATTCTTTGCTTTTTCGATGAGAAGGCACCCATGTCAGGATGTTCAAGACCGTTTTAAATGACAGCGTCATAAAGGCTGCTCAGAATGGCAAACAGAATGGTAGCAAATAAAAACATGTTCTGCGTTTTCTAACAGTCGACATATTCATACCTTTAGGATCCTTTAGGCACAATAAAACACCTCATTGCCCAGCTCAACTATTGTCAGACTTTCAGCATGTGTAGGCCAAGGCAAGCGTGTTTCCAGCCTGAAGAGTTGGAGCCACTCGCGCAGCCATGCAGCAGCGGGAGGTTCGTGTTCGCTGGGCAAAACATGGCAAAACCAATGGACCAATCCAAATGAGAGGGGACCTGAGCAATTCCAGCATGGAAAGTGACAGCCCTGTGAATTTGTCCCTGTCAAATGGGCTAGCAAGCTGGCAAGTTTGTCAACTGCACATGGCGACCGAGGCTTGATTTCAATCTTCCGAGGCTTGAACCAGGATGTGCCAAGAAGCAGCATGATGACTCCAGACACTTCAAGCAAACAAAATGGTTGGAAGGAAACTCCAGAAGGCTCGCTGATAGAGTGTCGTTTCCGTGGTCGAAACATATCTGATCAAGAAAAGAACCCAAATGAGAAACATGTTCCTTCAATTCTGCACCTCTCGGAAAACAGTAATCTGTTTGTGCGCGCATAGATGTTTGCATTTTCGTACCGATATGACCAAGGGCGCGTGAAACATCAAGGCCGCACCATCAATCCAGAGATCGCACCAACAGCTGAGTTGCTCCACGCTCAAACGTTCAAGCTTCATGCCTCAGGTAAAGCAAAGGCACAATCAAAATCTGTGGCTGTAGCTGCGTCTTGCTGGAAGCTTCGGACTCCGAAACGAACGACCTGCTATCGTTGACACATTTGTGCAGCCAAGATTCTGCACTCTCCAGAATCTTCACAACTTCATCCTTGCCCTGTGTTCGTGCATGGTCCAATGGAGTCCGGCCTGAGCGCTGCAATTGATGTTGATTGCACCACACTCATGGGTCTTGATGTCATTTCAAAAGCCATATATTGAAGAATTTACTTGTAGAGATTTGTAGAGCGTCTGATGTTGCCGTCATTCTTCACGCCAGCTATTCAAGTTGCTCCAAACGCTATTCACACCCCATGTTAACAATGTTGATTGGGCGGAAGTTCTATCTCCCAGAGACAAGCCCTCCTTGAACCCCAGGGCCAGAGTCCAGAGCTTGCCATTAACTTTCATGGTAGCGTTCATAGACTGTGTTGAAACTTGTGGAAAGCTGGAAAGACTGCAGTTTCACATCACTTCCGCATCCTTTTGTGGCATTCGAAGTTGAAGGAGACCTTCAAATTCGAACCCCCAGACCAAAACAAATAACACATGCATTTGAAATGGTGCTTCTCACGGATATAAGCACGTAAGAAAAGTATTCCCGAGATATTGCTTTCAAGTAAAATACCCTCAACACAAAATCAACCGATTGGACGGTTCCTGTGCTAGTTCAGTCCAGGAGGGCAAAGAATTCCAATGAGAAAAGCATCTAGAGAATCGGGTTGTCCATACATGCCCATACAGCTTCGAGATGGCAAGTTCGGTGTTGTATAATTTCGCTCTGGCATCTTGAAAAATATCTCGAACAAATGAGGATATGTGTAATATGTAGTATGCACGCATCATTTTCATGCAACGTATTGCACATGCGGAGGCTGGATGTGCGTTGTGCATATTCACAGATACCATGGATCATATGATACATCATGATACATTTCTATCAACAAACATTCAGTGAGTCTCCATCCATTGAGACCTCGTCCCATGCTGCGTGCGTTGTCTCAAGCAATGCTGTGTCTTGAGGATGTGGTAGAATGCCTGTCTACATGCGTACTGTGTCTCCGCATCTCCAATCACCTTCAGCTAAACAACCCTAGTGCCTGAGGACCCTAAGACCCATTGATGGCCTCCCGACCACAGGAAGTCGCAACGTTCAACAAACAAAACAGCCACCATAAAGTACTATAATAAGTATAGCAATACAATAGAATCAGATAAGAAAGCAAAAGCCATCAAAAGCCATCAAAAGCCCATCACATCTCCCAGCCGAGGCCCCCGGCCTTTGTCGTCTTTCACAGTGACGGAGGCTTTCGCCTCGAGGAGAAGGTTCACCACCTCCACTTGGCCGTCATCCGCCGCCCAATGCAGCGGGGTCTCACCTCGGGCGAGCGACTGCCCCCAGAAATGTCCTTCTGATGCAAAGCAAAGCGAAAACAACGAAGCATGTGAAAAATGGAACAATCCATGAACGTCCCAAGTCTCCTAGAAGGCGCACATCCAAGGCTCCATCAAAAGCTGAAAATGTCCCCAATTCAAATCCTTTCATTACTTTCAAAAATTCAAGTTATAGTTGTTTGAATTGAGTGATGATATCTGTTGTTTTTACAAATCCTGACCATGTGATGTGGTTGTTGATCCAAATTATTTCAACTGGAAACTGCTTTTTTAAAAGCCCTATAAAACCTACCAAACCCACCCTACCGTTTACATTTCACATCATTTAACATCATTTCACATTTTGACTTCGAATTTTTTTGGCACCTTGAAATCTCCCCAAAGCACCGTGCATCCATCTCTTCAGGGCCGAGAGGCCGTCGCCGCCACTGGCGTCCACATCGGCCCCCGCTGCCAGCAGCACCCGGCACATCTCCGCGTAGCCTTCGCCCGCCGCGTAGTGCAGGGCGGTGCGGCCCAAGTTGCTAATCCTGGCCACGGCGCCGGGCACCGTCCGCAGGAGGTGCCGGACCCCCCCGAGGTGACCGCGGTAGGCCGCCGTGAAGATGTCGTTGTTGCCTGGGAGGGCCACGGGCCGCCCCGGGAGGGCACCGGTGGAAGGGCCGCAGAGGCCACAACAGAGACCCAAAATTCGTTACAGGAAGACTTGAGCTAGAATGAAATTTAAGTTTGAGTAACCACAATTAATTCAAGTACATGATGATTTGGTTTTAAGACAATCCATGGATCTCAACATGACCTCAACATGACCTCAACATCACCTCATGCAATCAGTCTGACTCCTCTCAATTTGTTGGCTCAACAACTATGTGTATTGTATGTTTTGGATATGCTTAAATTGTATAGAACGAAGACTGGGAGAAAATGGAAACATCATGAAACAATGTGAAACATCTGATTTTGAGGTCAGATGGTATATGATGGGATATGATGGGATATCGTTTCAGAATTAGTTTGGTAAATTCGTGCCATGTGTGTCGAGATGTGTTGAGAAAGCGCTGACCATGTAGGGAGCAGACCCGGGATCAACTGCTGAGAGCCCAGCATTCTGCCGCTTCTTTCTCATCCTCTGCTGCCTGGTTTACCTCAGCTGCCAAGTGAACAGACACAAAACTCACCGGTGAATTACAAGCGTTTTCATTGAAGTCAAGTCCGGAAACTTGTTTAGGGAGGCGGTCTCATGCTGAGGATCCACCACTTCATGAAGCATGTTTGCCTTCATTATCCACGCGCAATGTGACAGACATAGACATGGACATAAATGGTCCTCCAGGTCGAGTCTCGACAAATGCTTCTGAACATGCAATGCCGCACAACATGTTTTTGCCCCGCCATCCCAAAACACGAAATCAGTATGGTGCACGTTGAAGCATTTGAACAATCATCATGCGCATGCGTTGCAATGCGCTGGTTGTGTTGCTTGAGCTGGGGATGCTTATCATGTAATTATTTCAATGTCAAAATGGGTTGACTCGTTCTTGACTTGTTCTTCTTGCAACTTGTTCTTCTCTTTCTGCGAAAGAGTTTAATCTTGCTTGAATTTGAAGGCCCCCAACCACTGACAGGTGAACTACTGTCACATTGCTCCTGTCACAGGCCAGGCCGCTGCAACGACCGTCAGCGTTGTGCCAGGCATGACGTTTTCTTCTGCGAGCATCTTCTCTTCATCCCTTGGCAAATACGGAAAGGTACTCTTGAACGAGCGAAGCTCTTGTTCCAGAATTTGTGATCTTGATTCAAGAGACCTTCATTTTGTTTTGCTGTTGGACTGGTATGAACATCCGAACAATAAATGACATGCACGTGTACTCTTTGCAAGTTGCAATGCCTGGGAATATCAGAATATCAGAATATCTCATTCCGCTTTCACAAATTGTTCCAACATGTTCTAACCCGAGTCATTCTCCAGAGGACGCTGTCATTCTGATTGTCCTTCACCGAATGAGCCTTTGCACGCCGGTATTTTCCTGGACTTAATCAGACTTTCCTGGACTTAATCGCTGCCTACACAATTTTCAAAAATACATTGCCAGACATCTCAAAGACATTGCTGGGTACCATTACGGATGTTATAGAAAGGCCCATGGACCCAGTATGAGTTTCACTGCTGCCACAACATCGTGTTTTAGGTCTGGTTGCATGTCCGATTGCATCATATTGCAAACTTAAGCAGGCGCAACATCAATGAAACGGCCGACAGTTTTGAAGAGTTCTTTGCAGCCCAAGCAGCAACGGCTCCATGTTGTGACCAATCAAGTGCTTTATAGCAATATCCAGCTTTTGCCTCGGGTGTTCAACTCAACTGTGGGGCACTGCAGGTTGCAACCGATCCCCTGCTCCTATCATTTCGTAACGGAAGTGTGTGAGCAGCGCCAGAAACTGACTGCGCCTGCTTCATTCTGCTTCTAAGTTGATATTTCCTGGCCTCTTTGAAAATAATTGAAACTTCGATAGAACAAGTATACATACATATACATACCGTATACCACATTATACCACCTTAAATAGGAAGTACAACCGAGCATTGAAGGCCATGCAAATGCCTTGGGCATGTTCTTCCTCGACTCCCGTTTGACAACTGTTGCACGTAGCACAACCAGTAAGATACACCTACGTAGCAGAAGGAACACAAAGACCGAAAACACCAAAACAGTGTCGGAGAGAATACAAAGTCGCCAAAGACAAGCCAGGACCAAACCATCCAAACCCCACATGATATGCCGCACACCTAACGTGCTAAGGTGCTGAGCTTCTTCTTTCAGCTGTCGGATAGTCCGGTCTTGCAACCACAGGCCTGAGATTCCGAAAAAGCAAACAAGAGTCAGTGGAGGTATCAACATAGTCCACTGATGCAGCCTTGTAGGGCACCAACCGGGTCATCACATCTGATGCCAGTTAATTCGGAGAACAACATCGATTGATGAATCTGCAACAGTAACACTTGAAAATCGACAGTAGCCATTTCTTTGCACGTCAACAGCAGCGATTGATAGCGATTCTACATGCTTACACTTTCTTACACCATCTTACACCTTGCATGGACAGAGGAAGGTGTATCCATGGGGCGGCCGAGTCACATTCACAGTCTTTGCCACTCAGCAGAGCCACGAAAACCTGGCCGCTTGGCTCATGCACTAGCTGCTAGCTAGCTAGATTCTGCCAGTCGAAGGTCAGTTCTATGAGCAACCCTCACACAATGTGAATCAACTTTAGATGCATTCCGATAGAATTTGATGGCAGACCACGAGGATTTACACTTGAAGACTCGAGGTCCAACCAGCCAGTTCCTGTATATACCTGTGTCAGCACTACAGGCAAAAAGATATAATGAACAATTGAACATTTTGACATATTGATCATATTGAACCCGCAAACCCATGACCTTCTTGTCATCGCCGTCCTTTGCAAGGTCGTGAGGTGTGCTGCCTCGCAACACAACTCAGCTCCGAAAGCCAAACCTCCGCAATTTTGGGTGTGCAATTCCTGCAATTTGCTCTGGACCCTGAAAGGCGAGACCCTGAAAGGTGAGACCCTGAAATCAAGAGTCAAAGACCACCATTGACTGCTTGTTTTGCTTTCAAGGGATATGTGTTTTCAAGAGAAACCAACACCTCCAATTCTGCGCCCACTTCTTAGGCAATCCGTTGACCCTAATGAACCTACTGGTACAGCTGATACTTCAGAACTCCAGCAGACAAATCAAGACATCTTAAGGATTCTTAAGGTCTGAAAAGTCAAGACATCTTGCCATCTTAAGGTCTGAAAATTCTGAATAGTGTCCGTTTCAGTCGACAATCAGGATCATACATTCTAACCAAAAATTCTAAGACGCTCCTCCCGCGGAACCACCCCTGCCACCAACCATCAGCATCTCCGTGGCCTGCGTGACTCACCAGCTCTTCGGGGTCCTGGCGCACCGAAAACACCTAGCAACACCTGGATATGCACTGCACCCTTCTGGTATTTGGGATAATATCACTTTGTCCGAGATCTTCACGCTTGAGTGTGATTGGAAATCAAGGAATTGCACTTGGAGGCATGGGGCCCAGCTAATTCCTGTGCGCAAGCAGCACTTGTCAAGAGACGTTGAACGCAGTTTTGCCAAGGGGTTGACACCGGCAAGGCCACACGAATCAACGAGGCCAAACACTACCAGGTTGTTGAAGACTTTTGGATATGTTTGGCATGTTTCTGCCCATGCGATCTGGAGTTGATGTGGTTCTGGTTTCGGAGTTGTAGTACCAAACTCAGAAGAGTGCACCCCTTAAAATTTAATTGAACTTTGCAAGGTCAACGAAGTTCATATGAAATGCGTGGAATTGATTTGTTCATTGAAAATGCACTGAGAAAACATGGGGCGTGTGGACGAGGCTGCTGCATGGTACAAGATTTCATGGTTGGGCTGAAGTGGTTAATTAATTGCAAGGTCTGGATCGCCCACAGAAACACTCGTCCAAATATGAGTTTGGCGCAGAATGTGTGATGTTGGGCCTATGTTCTTTACACTTGACTGATTCCGCCGTTGGCTTACACGGCGCCTCTCTGAGACATCTCCTTCTACCCATATCATGCGAGGTCGTGGACACTGCCCGCATAATTTAGGTTGGGGAAGACAACAAGATTGAGGTGGGACGCTGATAACTTTCAAGAGTTTTCTTTGTGGATATCCAAATTCTCAACTTTGGAGAAGGGTTCAACAAGTCGAGGCCGATGGCCAGTGTGCGACAAGTGTCTGCAGGCCGCGAGAGTTTGGGTGGATCCAAATGAGGCTCTACAAATTTTTTTCAAGACTCCACCCAAAACATCATCACAACGACGTTCCACGGATTTGTGGTTGAATTGGGCGAAGGTTTAATACATGCACAATCCAATGAACGCAATCATCAGATTCTTTGCTTTTTAGATGAGAAGGCACCCATGTCAGGATGTTCAAGGCCGTTTTAAATGACAGCGCCATAATGTATTTTCAGGTTTCAGCTGGGGTAATTCCTATTACACCCAAATGGACTGATAAACCTAAACAATGGGGAAACAACCGTTAAGCTAACGACTCAGCAGCGCCTTTTCCGTCTGAGCCGCAATGCTGTAGTATATTACTATCATACATGTGTGTCTTATGTGAGGTGCTTTTACACCCCCCTCAGGTGAGCCGGTTACGGCGAGGATGCCACAATACCGGGCGAGGTTTTTAAACCTGCCTCACCGAACTGGCTCTTTGCAAACCCAAGGGAAAACACAAACAGCGGCTATGATACAAAAACCGATCGTCGATGCAAGCAGTTTCACAACTTATCCCTCTTCCCACTCAACTCGGCCATGCCTGATGACTTTCTCGTACCAGCGCCCATGCCACTTCTGCCATTCTCCAGTGTAACGGCGACCATCGTGGGACTGACTTTGCTGAGGGCGGTTGATCCACTGACTTGCAGACGTTGATGATGAAGCTACCTCTACGGTGGATGTTCGGGCAACCGGTTTGGCGGTGCCTTTCTTGGAGGGACCCTGGCCGTACGCACCAGTCTGCTCAGCTTTACGCTTGGCCTCGTTCTGTTCGCGAGCCCTGTCAGACTGTTTCTTCTTCTCCGCAGCGTTCTGCTTGTACAGCTCCTCGTTTTGTCCCTTAATCCACCTCAAATGACGTTCAGCATCATGAACAGCGATGTTGTCAACGCCAGTACAAGACAACAAAAGGTTGTGCTGGGGATTCCGGTTCAGGTAGTCAATGTACTCTTCCTCGGAGTAGATTTCCGTCCGGTACATGTAGAACCATGGCTGGTCGATGTACCTGAACGACTTCGGGACATCAAGACGGCTTGCCATATCCAAGTAAACCAGCCTCATAGCATTGTGCTCCAGCTGAGATTGCTCAGAAACACCCATCTTGACCTGAGCCTTGGTACGACCTGGCTTCGGCAGATGTGCAGACTTGAGGAGGTCGTATCGCTCACAATCGTACTCGTTCTCCCCCTCGTTCAGCACGCTCTCTGCGAATGTGGCGTCCTGGGCAAACCTGTCAGCCACAGACACATAGCCCAAGCTCACGGCACGGTCGAATCGACTCTTTGCCCTTGCCAATAGACTGGCTTCAGGACTCGAGCTTCCTCTTGCCTGGTCGTCCAACAAACCCAAAGATTCAAGCTGACTGTGTGTGATGCTCTGCAGGTACTCGCCACGAAAATCATAGTACAAGCCCAGCTTGTGAAGGGCGGCCTTCCTGCGTTCTGCAATCTTGGTTCGGTCGGCCTTGTTCACCCCTTCGAGCATCAATCCACACACATCGCATTCAATCTGTCCCTTGAAAGTCTGTGCAAAACATCTTGAACATTGCGTGACTTCAATCTTGACCGGCACCGGCTTCTTATCCTCCTTCTTCACCTCTTTCTTCGAAGGTTGGTCATCGCCTTTAGGGCGAGACTTCTGCTTTGGCACCAGTGACTTGGATGTTGATGCTGGCGTCTTTTTGGGTGACTCTGCAACTGGAGCTTTTGGATCTTTCTGTACTGCCTTTGGCGGTGCAACTTTTGATACAGGCTCCAAGAAGGCCGCAGCTGATGATGCCGCAGGCACAGCTGCGGGCACGCTTGTCAGGGCTGCCTTCTTCTTTGCAGGTTCATCCTTTGCTGCTGCATCAACTTCTGAGGTCACAGCTTTTGGAACTTCTGGTGCATGAGGTGCAGAAGTCCCTTCCTTCGGTGATGGTTTTGGAGGTACTTTCGGCGGTGTCTTTGGGCTTTCAACCTTTGCTGCAGGAGGCTTTGGAGCTTCACCCTTCGGAGGAGGGGGCAACAATCTGCTGCTTGCATATCCAGGCATACCGGCAAGTTGGGCCACATTTGGTGGCGGAGGCTTCACCTTTCCTGGGAAAAATGCCGTTGCAGTGGGCGCGCCAGTTGAGGCGGCCGGAGACTTGGAACCAGCCCGTGTTGATGCCTTGGCCTCAAAGGTCTCGACAAGCTTCTGGACTCCAACTTCTCCCCCACTGCTCGCTGCAGACTGTGCGACCTCCTGATGGCGACGATACAAATTCACCTTCTTGGCAGTGTCATCGACAGAAATAATGTATTGCGGCGGGACGACGTCACTTGTAAGAATGCCGTCGGAGGCTGTCCTGAAAAACACAATTCCAGCTTTGACAGCTTCAGCCATTGCGACCCTGATTTCAATGGGTCGTTCAGCACGCAAACCGCTCACATACTCTTTCTCGTCGACACGCACTTCGCTAAAATAGGAGTGTGCTCTGCCTGATGAATTTCGTTCTCCTCCTCCAGCCACGAAGCCATTCTCAATGATGCCCTTCCAATTGCCTTTTGTAGTCCTGTGATAAACTACGCCAGGGCACATCTGAGGAGTGGTAATCTTTTTACCTTTGGCGTTCATTTTCTGGATCGCTACTGCTCCAGACAGAGCATAGATTTCCACTGCATTGAACGTGTCCTCAGCCGAGGCGGCATCCATGGCACGTTTTGTGTGCCCCTGCACTGCACGGATCCTGATGGGCCAGTGGGCTAACCCTTTACGGGTTGCCTTCTGGTACCCGGCAATGCACTGGAACTCAAAACGGCACTTGCTGTCCCAGTAGAGAAGGGAAATGAACTCTTCAACTGTCATTTGGGGCAACTTGGCTGGCAGCATTTGGTTGAACATTCGAAAGAAGTCATCAAGATCAAGCCACATGTTTTCATCAAATCCAGAGGTGTCCTGACCCGGCTGTCCACGCGTCACAGCATTGACCTTGGTCTTGTGTCGGTCCATGCGATCTGGGTACCTCAGCTCCTTTGCCCCATCCATCTCCCAAAAGGTTTTGGTGATCAATTCGTAGGGATGGGAATCAACGACACAATGTTCAACTACTTCTGCATTGATGTTTTCGTCCAACGTGATACGATATTTGTCAAGGTGTCCAAGTGCATGTTTCGGGATGATGGTACCCTTGACCTCGTTCTCTTGCAGGGGCTCACCAGTTGAGGTGGCCTGAGTTGAATCCTCCTGTGTCGCTGGAGCTTTCGCCTTGGGGTCAGGTGGAGCTGCGTGGCTGGCCTTCGCTTTGCCCACCGATGGGCCCTCATGCTCATCGGGATCCAGAGCATCCCATGGGTCGCCTTCCTCATCATCATCTTCAGCGACACCAGCGTCAATCGGGCGATCTCTCAACTCCTCTGCTGTGAAGCTTTCTGGGGTCGAGACGCTCGGTGCAGATTTGTTCGTCTTCTCCCGGAGAGCGTTGAGGACCTGCACAAACCTGACTGGGAGGTGCTCCATCTTTGGTGGGACATCACGCATTGTAGCCTCTCCTGCAGGACGCCTGCGCTTGTACAAAGACAGGTTGTACTGGGGCACCAAGATGTCCGTCATGTGCAACATGTGGAGAGTTGCCATGACATATCCGATCATCTCACTTCGGTTGAGCTCGGTCTCGAATGCGTGAAAGTAGTCCCTGAGCTCAAGCCTTGGTGGAAGCCTGTCATTCTGAATCCACCGGATCCGATCGTTGTCACTGGCAATCTCCTTGTGGAACCATTCCTTCAGTCGCTCCACAAATGTGGTGAAGATGAGACTCAATCCATAAGTGAGCGGGTCGGGCTCGCCGATTAGGGCGGCCTGATCCACTCCCAATTCTTTGAGCTGATTGTTCCACCACACGATGTTGCCCTTGACCCTGTCCATGATGGCATTCCAGTCGCCCTGTGGTTCCCTCTGCCCCCAAATGGGGAGGGGTTCAACACCATATTCCCCACAAATTTCATTCCCAGACCAAAAGATTACCGAAATAACCCTGATGGCTGATCCATGAGAAGAATATTTCGCCATCAGCTCCTTGATCATGGAAATATTTGCTTTGCAGAGCTGTTGCAAATCCTTACCCCAGAGCATGTCATGACCGATTTCGAGAACCATGTCCGACTTTCGC